ATTTCTGGTTTAGTAGACCAATTTGAGCATGGGTAAACTTATGATTCATGCTTATTATCCCTTGAACACTACTTGGGAGAGAGGTATGAACAAGGTTTATGAGTTTTCCTAAAACTCATTGGCGACTCTCTATTGGTTTCTTATGAAAAAGCGTAGTAATAAAATCAATTCTAATTCAAGGTCCCCCAAACAGTCAGGAATTCAAATCCTAACACACCCTAAAAGGTGTAAAGTCGTAGGCTTTTAAGGGACAAGGGCATAGAGGAAGTGGGATCCTCAACGACGGGCTATCCTCCTTACACCAGTGCCGTGACACGGACCCAATGCTATGCCACGACACCCATTGTCGTGCCACGGTACCTTTTACTTTAGCGGTGCTCGTTTTCTAGGGTTCCGGACTGCATCCTTCACAACCCTAGAAAACGCGCTTTCTTTTCCCAAAATGATAAAATTTTGTACCGTGCCAACCACCCTCGAAGCCCTTCCCAACTACCCTCGAAGCTCATATTGTGTTTGAGTTTTTAAGGTGGAAGGTGGTTGATTTTGGGTCGTGGGGCGGTGACGATGCGAACGAGACGGTGGTGGGAAGACCGGAAGAGCGGCGGTGCTGATGGGGGCAGTGGTGGGAAGGGTTCCAATGATGGTGGGGTCTTAGTGCAAGTGGAGCAGTGGTGGTGTTGGTGGCTTAGGGGAAAGGGAATGCAATACCATGGAGGGGGGGGGGTAGGGAATGAGAGTAAGAGGATTTTGGGGTAATTAAGTGGGGATAGGGAATGATTGAATTGACATAACAAACAACAATTAAGGTATTCGTTCTTGTTGATTCCCTTTCCCTTTCCCGATTACCCCAAACCAAACGGCCCCTTATTTTCTTTGATGGTATCATTTATTTATTGGATAATATGATTAATTGTATAGATGATATCAATATGTGTAATTGTCTTGAATACATCAATATCTACTTGGATGACATCTTTAAATGTTAGGCTAGATAATATAATTAATTGACTGGATGTTGTTATTTATTGTCTAGATGATATTATTATTAACTATTTTGATAATATCATTTAATGCATTGGCTGGATGATTCTTTTGTCTAGGTCGGATGATATCATTTATTTGTTTACTGGTATGTATGATTTATTGTCTAAATGATATCATCTGTTAACTAGTTAATATGATTAATTATCTAGATAATATCATCCATTTACTGGATGATATGATTAATTTGTCTAGAAAAATTTAGAATCCTTCGGATAACAACAAAATGTTAAAAAAAAAGATCAAAATACCAAATATATGTAACTATAATAACCACGGATATACGAAACTTGTTACAAATACTCTGCACTTTTAACAATGGGATGATAGTGAGGGTTTTCCGTCCACGAGGCAGAAGGAGTCTTCATCGGTTTCGATGAATGTGGCGACAAAGCAATCATCGCTAGAGAAAATTGATGACGACACGAAATCAAGACGGAGTCCAATTGGTGATTCTCCTATGTTTGTCGGAGCAAGAAAACAGGCAAAGGGGATAGTGGTGGTGGAGAGAGATGGAGAAGGAAAAGGGTTGCGGCGACATCATGGTGGTAAATAGAGATGGAAAAGGAAAAAGTTTGCGGTGGCGTCGGTGGTAGCTTCTGGTGAGCCCCCGCCATTGTTGAAGGGAGATAGAAAAGGAATTGGGGAAACAGTTGAAGGATGAGAGAGAAAAGCCTGAAAGTGATGAAGTTTTGTTCACAATTAGTTTCTGTATTTTCGGATTGTCTCACAAAGTTATTGGTGAGGCAAGTGTCACCTATAGCTTCTCATTAAAAAAATTGTATAAAAAAGATAGCGGAGTCAATAATTTAATTATTAGAACGTAATGATTGTGACTTTGTGAGAGGCAAGAAATAATAGAAAAAATAAAATAAAATAGTTTTAGCTTTGGGTGGGTACCATAAGAGGAGAGATATAAAATATTAAAATGTAGCTTTTTGCCAATATAGCTTTTTGCCAATTAAGGAAATGCAACATTTAAAAAAACACGAGCGCATCTGGTAAGTATAGCACTTACAAAAACACTGAGGGATTATTTATAATAATTTTTTTTTTTTACTGAATACATTATTTTAAAAAGCGGGAAAGAACATGGCCTTAAAGGGAGTACGTAGTGAATTTATGGAGTCAATTTAATCCCTTAAATGTAGATATGTCAATCAATTTAATCTCGAACTGGTGAACTCGGCTATTTCGAACTGATTCGAACAGGAACCAAAACTCTAAGAAGCCGTTTTCTGAAAACAAAAACTAACCCAACCTAACTTTTTCGAACTCGAAACTGAACCGAACCGATTTATAATCGTTAATGACCCTTTTCATTTATCAATTCGAATCATTACAACCTGAAACTGAAAAAATAACCTGAACCGATTACGTCCAAACTCGATAGTAACATGACCCATTTTGAACTGAAATAGTTTAAACTTGGCAAAAGCACGATAAACCCAAACCATTTCAACCTATAACTCATTGTGTCTGAATCGTTTACAACTCGTAACCTGTCGTGTCCAAATTGTTTACAACCCGCAACATGTTTAACCCGAACCATTTGAAACGTTTAGCTTAACCTGTTGTATCCAAACAGTTGACAACCCGCAAACTGTCTAACCCAAACCATTTCAACCCGGGAACCTGTACAAAAAAATTGTTTACAAATCAAATATACATTGTTTCTTTTATTTGTATACATTTACAGTTTTTAGACTTAACTTTAATACATACATTGATTATATATTTACAGTATAATATAATACATGTAAAAAAAAAGGTACTAACTAAAAAACTAGTAGTACTAATTATTCTTTTTCCAAACCCTAGCCTTTCTCTCCTCTATCCTCTCTAAAACCCTAGCCTCCATTGTTGAATTTTGGAGGAGACTCCATTGATTTTTACTAGTGGAAAGGCCCAATCGTTGTGTTTGTGTGCTTTTTAATCTTATTTTAGGTTTATAATAACTCTTTCTCTTTTAGGAGGAACATTTCTCCCTCGAAAGGCAAGGTTTTTCTTCTTCTTTAGGAGGATTTTGCTCCTTCGAAAAATCAGGTTTTTCCTCTCTCATTTGAGGGAGGATTTGCTTTTTTGTTTTGAAAATTCTCAATGGTAGCCCTCTATTATTGCTTATTTCCAATGGTAACCAACCTCTTTTTTTTTTTTTTTTTTCCAGATTATCTTTATACTTTAAAAAGTCCTCAACCGTGACCTTAATGATGTTTTTCCGTTAGAATTCTATTAAATCTAACTATATTGTAAACCAAGGTTAACTTTCAAACAAAATAAAATATATAAAAAAAATCCACTCCTCCACCAGCCAGCCACCCTCTCCCCCTCCCTTTTCACTGTCGACACCCAATTGCCTTGCCCACCGACGCAAAGGCTTCCCTCACAAGCGATACCCCAAAAACCTCCCTTCTCCGTCCCCACTACGTGCTGCCCCCAAACCCTAAACCCCCACTTGACTCGTGTTTTAGGGTTTAGGGTGGTTACCAGGTGGGGTTTTAGGGGGGGCGCAACTCGTGGTGGGAGGAACGGGAGGAGGAAGGGGAGGGGGCGACTTATGGGTGAGGGTGGGGTGGGGGAAAGTCGATGGTTTAGGGTTCAGGGTGGGGGCTTGGGTGATGAGGCAGATCGGCGCTGGGGAAGCATGGGTGCCAACAGTGGAGGGGAGAAGGTTGGGCTGATGGTGGAGGGTTGTTTTTTATTTTTACAAACAGAATTATTTAATTATTAGAAAACTAACCATGATTAAGTGTTTATTTTTTATTTTAAATAGTTAACTGTATTCGAGTAATAAGTTAGATTTAACGGAAAAAACATTATTAAGGTCACAGTTGTAAAACGGTGAAAGTAGAGGGCTACCAAAGATAATCGAAAAAAAGTTAGCTACCATATTGGAAATAAGTAATAGTAGAGAGCTACCATTGAAAATTTCTGTTTTTGTTTCACGGATTGCTATAGAGTTGTTTCATTGGTAAAAGTTTGTGGGGATCGACGTTAATCTTTCAATTACAATCTAACGAATCAGACGAAATTTTTTTTTTACGGTTACAACATATCGATAGATCCCCTAGCCAGAGAAAGTTGTAAATCACAGGGATATGAAAGAGGGTATGAAGAATGTACGATTTGCAACAACGATCGTAGCTTTGCTGACATGATTTTTTTATTTGATTCAATTATCATGTACTATATTTGTTATATTTAAATCTCTTTGTATATGTCATATGACTTTATATATGAATCAATTTTATTACAAAAAAAATATTCTTTTCTCACACCTACTTGTATACGCATATAAACAACTAATAATTAAAAATAATTTTACTTTTAAATATTTTTTTTTATTTTTTTTATACTATTTTACACAGTTTACTAGGTTGAAATGAAGAAATGTATTGCTAAATCTATAGAGTAACTTCCAATTACTATTGAATAATAAAAATTATAAAAGACTAAGTACTACTGTATTAATTATGAGTTTATGACCAAATTCATTATGACTTGCTACCCAATCAACCTAGCGTGTTTATGATTAGACCATTTACAACCCAACTTGTTCTAATTCGTTACTCGATCAATCCAATTTGTTAAAGTCATAACTCGATTATGACCTTCTGTTCCTACCTGCAATCCGATTAACTCAATTAGTTTAGGGCCCGACTTTCAATTTTGACCCAACTCGTTCTTACCCGCTACTCGATTAACCCAACTTGTTTAGAACTTGTCTCTAACTATTTGACTTGACGTGAATTGAAAATGACCCAACTCGAATTGACCCGCTCTGTTTTGAATTGAAATCTGCTTTAATTTAACTAAATCAATTTTCAAACCGACCTAGTTTAACCCAAATTGATTATAACCCACTCTGATTATAATTTGACCCAAATAATTTTCAAAATCGACTCTAGCTAACCCCTAGCTATTTAAATTTGTTATAACCCAAAATCGATAAAAACAATTTGAAATCGAACCATTGACCCGAATGGACACCCATGAGTCAAATCCACTTACCTATCAAAACTCTATTTACCAAAACATCTTCACTTCTACTATCACACTGAGAGAGTGAGAGCAACCCGGCGTTCCAAAACCCCCAATCCTCCGGCCTCCATTTCATCCCCCCTCTCAAACAATCCCCAAACTTCACCACAAAAAAAATCTTAACACCCACTTCAACTCCACCCCCCTAAAAGAAGCGGGAACCTTGAAAACCTCCATTAAAAACAATGGGAGCAAGCAGTGAACCATCATCAATGAACCCAGAACCCTTCTCCTCCGACGACCAACAAAAACAACGCTCCGAAATCTACACTTACGAAGCACCATGGCACATCTACTCCATGAATTGGAGCGTTCGTCGCGACAAAAAATACCGTCTCGCAATCGCCTCCCTCCTCGAACACTCCCAAAACCGCGTCGAAATCGTTCAACTCGACGATTCCACCGGCGAAATCAAAGCTGACCCTTCTCTCTCCTTTGACCACCCTTACCCACCCACCAAAGCAATCTTCATACCCGACAAAGATTGCTCCAAACCCGATTATCTCGCTACTTCCTCCGATTACCTTCGAATCTGGCACATCAATTCAGATTCCAACTCTGTTGAGCTCAAATCTCTTCTTAATGGGAATAAAAATTCCGAGTATTGTGGTCCTTTAACCTCGTTTGATTGGAATGAGGCTGAACCGCGTCGTATTGGGACTTCTTCGATTGATACGACGTGTACGATTTGGGATATTGAGAGGGAAACTGTTGATACTCAATTGATTGCGCATGATAAGGAGGTTTATGATATTGCTTGGGGCGGTGCTGGGGTTTTTGCGTCGGTTTCGGCTGATGGGTCTGTTAGGGTTTTTGATTTGAGGGATAAAGAACATTCGACTATCATTTACGAAAGTTCTGAGCCTGATACTCCTTTGGTTAGACTAGGGTGGAATAAGCAAGACCCTAGATATATGGCTACTATTATAATGAATAGTCCTAAGGTTGTTGTGTTGGATATTCGGTTTCCGACGCTTCCGGTGGTGGAGTTGCAGAGGCATCAAGCTAGTGCTAATGCTATTGCTTGGGCACCTCATAGTTCTTGTCATATTTGTACTGCTGGTGATGATATGCAGGCTTTGATTTGGGACTTGTCTTCAATGGGGCAGCCTGTGGAAGGTGGGTTGGACCCCATTTTGGCGTACACGGCTGGGGCCGAGATTGAGCAGCTTCAGTGGTCGTCGTCTCAGCCTGATTGGGTTGCCATAGCTTTCTCTAATAAGCTTCAGATTCTCAGGGTTTGATTGGTAGAGTAGAAAATTGATTGGAGATAAGTATAGCATATAATTAATTGTTTATGGAAGGAAAAATTGTTATTTGGTTGTTGCTATTGTGTTTCTGTTGTGTTTTGTGCTTAATAATGTTGGCATAGTAAGGTAGTGTTTAGGTTTGGATGATTAGTGACTATGTTATGATGTTATGTTTAGCATAGTTAGTGAGTCTTTGATGAATTGTGTTCTGTTTGTTTGACTGTATTGGAAAAATAAAAGTAAAAAAATGTGGTGTGATGTTGCAGAACGAAATTATAGACTAAAATAGGACATCGATATTGTTGCTGATTATGTTTGGGATTAGTATACATGTGACATAGAAAGAATGGCTGTCCTAGAAATGAGTTGAATTTAAACACGTTGAGGTGTGTTGTAATGTTGAAGTTGGACTGATGCTGAAATCTGAAAGCAGTTGCAAATTATAAAGTTTGCTTCTTCAATGCTTGTTTGTAGTTACAATGGATAGATTATCTGCTGTGCTCTTTGATGCTAACCTCACTAAGCTTGAGTGGCTGAAGCATATAAATGTCATGGATTACCGGTTTCTGGTGGAGGTTACAATTTACTGAATGCCCTGGGAATATGTTTCAGTTTTCACTGATGTGCTACACGCTGTTGTTACTTGTAATATTTGCATGTTGCCGAACCGCCTATAAGTCTATAACTCGACTATGCTCAATTCTGTTGCTGAAGCCTGAAGTGGACTATAGCTTGAAGATGCTCAATTCTATGTTATTGCCTGGCCTACAATGCCCTGCACCACCACATCCGGCCACATACGAGTATCTTACCATGCCCAATAACCAGGCTAGCCATGCCTTTTGGAGTTATGTGGCAGTCAATTCTTTAACCACGGATTATAAAATTTATGTCTGCGACCTGTCTTGATTTGGTCATCATGCAGCCATTGTGCCTCGTCTGCCTAGCTCAGATTTAAACTTGTGCGTCCTTGTGAGAGCTACGGTGTATTAATTAAGCCTGTGTGTATTGTTATTACTAACGTATGTGACTATGCTCTCATTAAATGCGTATTATTCCCTTTAATCATCATCGACTTCTGTTAATAGTATATGATATCGGAGTTGCTTGATGATGTAAATGCCAGTTTTCATACTTCTCTTGCTAGTCAGGACTGCAGGAACTTTTTTTATTTTTTATATGAGAGAGGAGTGCAGGAAGTCCTTGATACGGAGAACTTCCGCCGTTTTTTTTAAGTGCCCCATTGGCAATTTTGGCACTATTCATTTGATCTACTTTGATCAATGTTTGTGATTTATACGTTAAAAAAAAAAAAAAAAGCCTTGTGGATACTTGTTAGATGTTCAATTGTTGTAAATTATATTTAATGATAATTAAAGAAATAATTGATTAAAATTTTGTATCGACATGCATGTCATGTTAGTATGTCACTATGGGACACTTAAAAAAAAAAATATATAGAGAGTATGTAATTTTGTTGCCATCAAAGGTCCATAAATGAGGCTAGATAGAAACAAAGCTCTGCAGTAAAACGGTTAATCCTGTTGATTAAAATTGAATTTATCAACAAGGATCGATGGATGGAGATTAGTGTGGCTTTTATTTATGCTGCTATGGATCGACTGGCCGTGATGGAGCTTGAAGTTTTGTGGCCAATCAACCAAATTGATAATCGTATAAATATAACTGAAAATCCCTTTGCCAAATTGGTCGTCAATTTGTTTTTTTTTTCTTTTGGTGTTTAGAAAGTTACAAGGGCGGGTGACGATAATTGATATTATCTCCTAAAAGCTGTCAATTGTGATAATTGTATTAACGTTTTTATTTGAACTTATATATTCTGAAATTGTTTTATTTGTGCTTTTGTATAAAATTGTTTGAGAAAAATAATTTAAATCTATTTTGTCTGAACTTATGTGAAGTTATGAACTACTCCATACTTGTTTTTATTAAGTTAGGATGATTTAAAATAAGATGAAAAAGGAAGACCCTTGGCATTATATGACAAGCTAATTCTCTTTGGTAACATTGAAATTTTTAATTTTATCAGTGGTGAATTGCAAAAAAACTTATTATCTTTGGTAAACTCGTATTATTGTCTACCAAAGATAATTACAATTTTAATTAAAATCTTTAACAATGGTTAGTTTTTATATTATTTTAACAATTAAATTATATTATTTTAGAGATAATTTTTTTTTAGAAAAAAACAACTACCCTTTCCCCACCAAGCCAGCCAGCAACCAGCCACGACCAGTGTCCCATCCCCTTCCCTGAACGGCGCTGTAGGCATCATTTGAAGCACGCCTACTTAAGCATGTTGTGAGTATGCTTGGCACTCAAAGGAAGTGGGAATTAACATATACGATTAGGGGCAAATCAAAGTAGGGAGCCGCCAACAAGTTTTATAAGGAACTTGTAAACCGTTCACGGATCATTATAAGGCAACCACGATTAAGGGACAACGAAGGCAACAACGATTGACTCGTGAAGGTTACACCCAATTCATAATCCATGAGATTACTAATTCCATATGGTTCAGAACCACGAAAGGAGGATCGGGGATGATGGTACGAAATGAGTCATGGAGTCACATTCGCCCGTATTGGCCTCTACTTGATTCTTATTGTGAAAAGGAATTCCTGCGATCTCAAAGGCATACAAATAGGCTAAATTGGTTGAATGTTAATGCAACATATAATTCTAAAATATCATGATCACTTGATTAAACAACAAGATTAAAAAGGAACCTAAGTCGGTCGTCCAAATTATCTTAATAGTCGTTATATTCAATTACATATTCCCTTTAACATGCAATATGGTGATCAATAAATATAATAGAATAAACATCAACATTGGAAGCAATTTAACCATAATAATAATGATTTGTACATGACAAACACAACAAAAACCGTTAGAAATATAAGAGGAACAAAAGAACACGATTTCTTACTTTGATTTCGTTTGCTTGCAATTATAATACAATAAACGCGGTAGTAATTTCAAGGAAAATAAATAATATAATGGAAATTAAATCAAATGAAAGTAAAGTTGATTTTGGGCCAAACCCTCAAACAGTTCTACCTTTCACGCCTTGGTTTGAGTTTAGAAGTTCGGGTAAAGTATGGACACGGTACATGTTGCCATGACACGACAAAGCCTTTCGTTGCGCGACAATTCTGTCGTGACACGACAGATGCCTTGTCTGGAATTCCGTCTAAACTCATTTTTATCTTTTTATTAATCATTAAGTACGGGATAATTTAGACGTCGTATCATTGTTTCGGACTTATTTCATGTTTAGGATTTTAATATTTATTAATCGGGCTTAATTAGTAAATGAAATGAAATGGATTAAAATGGTTTGGGCTGAAATGAGGGTTAGACTATGCTTTGACTAAATACTTGGACTGAACTATTGACTGATTTGTAAAATGTGTTTGACTGAATATGGATTTTAAGCGCTCTCAAGATTAAATACTCGACCCGACCATTAATGGCGGTGAAAGGTTGTTCACCATCAGGTTTGGTTTTAGGGAGACATTTTTAGATGTCTACATAAGCCCCCACTTTGACTGAGTTTGTAGAAATGTGAGTTTCGAAAACGATAGTCAAAGTAGTCGATTGGAACGGAGAATGATTTAACACGTTCTACGATCCTAAACCACTTTGTCTATGCTGATACCTGCAGAAAAGCGTTAGTTCCACAAATAAAAGAGCAAAGGGATAGAATGCGTATTTGACACCCTTGCGTCAGCAGCAAACACGTTTGGTAGTTTTCTGCGCCTCGAGAAATCCACCAGATGATAGTTTTCCGTGCCTCGAGACCCTTATCGGGAATCACTGCCTCTCGAGCAATCCACTAGATGCAAGATGACAAGTTTGCGCGCCTCAGGAAACAAGTCGTAGATTCCTACGCCTCGAGCAATCCACTGAATGATGATCTTCCGCACCTCGGGAAGATTGATGTGCGATAGTTTCCGCGCCTTTGTGCCTCGAGTAGCTCACAAGTGAAATTTCATACTACAGGATTAACATTAAGTGTTCGTGCCTTTGGACACAATCGCCGACCTCTACGCCTCGAGAAGTATGCAACGATTGACCATTTTCCGCATTTGGGGAAAACTTGTTTGATAATGAGAAACCACAAGTCTCTGTGCCTCGAGAATCTTACAACGCGAATCATTCGCGCCTCGGGAGATGATCACTAGGTGTTTGATAAATGTCTGATGATGATATTGTCCTCCAACAGAGGTTGTAGATGATGATTGTTTGATTGCCCAAATAGAGGCTGCAATATGTTTTGTTGATGTTAAGACCTTCAAGCCAAGTATATCCGACCGCGTTAGGTGCTTAAAATGATGAAGATATGACATTGATATTAACTGAGGGAAAAATGGTAATTTTGATGCCATTTAAATATCAGTTGGAATTTCCCGCGAGTTTTCGGTGAAGAAATAACTGCCAAATAATTGCGGAAAACTCGTTCAAACTGGTCAAAGGACATCGGGAATATTCGCAGAAGATTCCCTGACGCCGCTGCACGCACTAGAATGCCGCATCATGGGGAAAATTGCCGCGACACGGTATTTTCTGCCGCATAACGGTAATTTTGCCGCGTAACGGCCCGACTTCTTCATTTCACTTCAATTTTTTCGCTGCTTCGCGTTTTCGCCACTGCTGTTGTTGTTTCTTGCTTGGATCATCACCAAACTTGCTCAAATTTCTTGCATAGCTTCTCATTTTCGCATCTCTACGCAAATCCATGTAAGTTTTTCAGCTTTTATGTTGATTTTTTGGCGAAAATGGTGATGTATTATGCGAAAAACCTAGAAAATCGAATTGGGGGTTCTTGATTTTTATGCTTTTTGTTGAAATTTTTGCTATGATTTTTCTTGTTTATGAACGTATGTTGGTTTGTGAGCAATTTGAGACCAATTTTGCTTGATTTGGTGAAGAAATGAACAATTCACCATTTTTCGTACTACTTTGTGCGTGAATGCAATTGTTGGTGTTCTTCATGTTTCTTTTGTTGTTTTGCACTTGAAATGATAATGTAATTGAAATGAATGGTGTCCTTCCAACAAGTGTATTATTCTGATAGAGGGTTCAGAATTATTTGAAAGCTAATTCTTCAGTGAGGTCAAGTGATCGGAACGCCTAGGTGGAGGCCGCTTTCGATCAGTAATATTAATGTGTAATTAATATTACAGCTTAATCTCGACTGAACCCTTCGGGTCACACCCAATCGAGTAACCGATCTGAGTCGACGAATCAATCCGAAGGATTTGATGAGTCATTAGAGTATTACGAACAAAGACGTCGGATGTCGAGCTTAGAGCGTTGAAACCGAGCGTCGCGAGTCGAGTCGAATTTAGAATTCGACGAGACGAGAAAAATCAACAAGCAACAAGTATGTGCTAAGCCGTAGCCTCGCATTAG